CTCCATTACTCACCTCACCCCCACCCCCAGTTTGCTCATGTAGATCTCATCCATTTCTCTGTGTCTTTCTTAGGGTCCTCTTTAATAGGTATTTAGATTCTTAATAACTGAGATTCTGACTGGGGTGGGATAGACTTTCAGTGTAGCTTTAATTTGCTATCCATTAACTTAATTATGATGAACTTTCTTATGTTTGTTGACCATTTGTACTACAGCTCTTGAGAACCCTGCTCATATCATTGGTCCATTATTGATTGGATTGTTTTAGTTCTTTGTTATTTAGCTTTTTGGGTTCTTTTTATAGTCTATATATGAATACTCTGTCAAATGTGCAGTTAGAAAAGATTTTTCTCCGACTCTGTAAGCTGTGTCTTTACTCGGTTTCCTTTGCTGTGTAGAAGCTTTTGAATTTAATGAAACACTCTCTCTCTCTCTCTCTCTCTCTCTCTCTCTCTCTCTCTCTCTCTCTTTCTCTCTCTCCCTTCTGTGTGTGTGTGTGTGTGTGTGTGAGAGAGAGAGAGAGAGAGAGAGAGAGAGAGCACGCGCACACATGCGCGCAGGCATACCTGTGCCAAGGCATATAGGTGAAGGTCAGAAGACAGCCCTGGGTGTCAGTCCTCGCCTCCCTGCTTGTTTAAGATGAGGTTCTCTTTTGCAGCTCACCGCTGTGTAAACCAGGCTAGTTGCTGCATAAGCCTGTGACTGTTCTCCCGTCTTTGCCCCATCTAGCTGTGTAAACACTGGGATTAAAGACACATGCTACACTGTACATATCTTTATGTGAGTTCTGGATATTTGAACCTGGATCTTTCCTTTGGGACCAGTGCTTTACCCACTGAGCCACATCTCCACTTTAGCCCCATCCTTTTATCAGCCACATTTCCCTATGTGCTTCCCTGACTTTATGTTGCCTAGCCTCTGAAAATATTGAGCAATAACATGTTCTCACACATAGGAATCCCATCTGTAGGATTCCCGCAGGCTGGCAGAAAAGGCGCTATTTATCACATATTTCTGGAAACGGTACAAATTACAGATTTTCAAGGTGTTAGCACATAATTAGTATGAAATGAGGTGAGGATAAATGTTGTGCTAATAAATTAAGGTCTTTACTTTACTCTGAATATATTTGAACAGGGATTCAGAAAGAATAAATATTTTCAAAAATGTTGGTGGAATGAATGCAAGACAGCTCAGTGGGTGATGATGCTTGCCACACAAGCCTAATAACTTGCAATCAATTGCCAGAACCCACATAAGGGTGGGAAAAGGAAACTGACTCCACAAAGTTATCCTCTGACCTCTCACTTCTTCATGAGTGCCATGGTATGCAGGCATGCATGTGCATGTTCATGCACGCACACACATGCACAAATAAATAGATATGTTGGTATGGTGCTTTTAAAAATATATGTACTTTGTAACTGACTAATTTCTTCCTTTGGGTCTCATTTGCCTCATTTTTTTTTTGTTTGTACTCACTTGAGTGGCCAAAGCTAATCTAAAGACTCTAATCTGTGCATTAATCTAACTGAATCAATTTTTAAATTTAATTAACATTTAAAACTAAATTAAATCTCATTGGTGTCTGCCAAAGGGATAGATTGGGATTCTTCCCCTATTTTCTGTGAAAAAAAATTACATTTTTCTTTGATAGAAAACAGAACACAAGGTTATGTATATGAGCACTCAAGGACACCAAAGTTGGCAAGCCAAATGCCAAGGGAACAGGGACACTTCTTTGGTCAGCCTGTGACTCTCAGCACATCACCAGACATCGTGGGCTGCATGCAAGATGATTAGGCTTTTGTATGAGAACCACATACAAAATTCTGAACTTCAGTCACCCCTAGCCCACACAGAGGGGTATGTTCCATACACCCCTCAGTGGATGCTTAAGACCACAAATAGTACAGAATCCCATCAGTATTGAGCTTTTCCTATTCATATATACCTGTGATGGTTTAGTTTACAAATTAAAGGGGACAGTATAAGATTACCATTAATAGTGAGCCTTAATTGTGATAAAAATCATATCAATTATTTAAAATTTAACAATTGTTTATTTCTAGTGTTTTGTATATTTTTATTTTTAGTTGTTTGTGTGTGTGTGTGTGTGTGTGTGTGTGTGTGTGCATGTACATGTGTGAGAGGAGATATATGTTGTGTGTGTGCAAGTGCCTATGGAGGCCAGAAGAAGGTGTTACGTCCTTAGGAGCTGGAGATACAGGCAGCTGTGATCCACCTGACATGGATGCTGAGAACCAGACTCAGGTCTTCTGTGAGAGCCTCAGTTCTCTTAACCACTGAAGCACCTGTCCAGCCCTATATCTAGAATTTTTTCATTGAACAATTTCAGACATTTGGTAGTGGGTAATTGAAACTGTGAAAAGTAACTGTTTGCATAATTTTTTATTTTAATGTTGATCTGATTAATTTATAAACAAGGCAGTGTGTATGACATGCTAGATATTGTTAGGGAGCTATTCTTTCTGATGCTTGGTAGGCAATGGGGAGGCAGAGTTTGTTAGCATAATAGTTATCATAGAGGGGCTGCTTGTTCACTTTTTGCAGGAACAGAAATTAGGGTAGACTTGATACATAATCATAAAATTTGTCAATTTTATAGCTAATAGTTGGGGAAAGGGGCAAAAGTGAATAAGAAAATTATTCAAAGAAAGCCTCAAGTGTCAAGGTAATTTAGGATAAACTTACTGGATGTTTGCTGAACAGAGGCCACTGTAATCAGACATCGTCTGAGCATAGTGGAAATGAGTAACTTGGTCAGAGGTTGAGGGTGGTAAGGTACTGAAGGGTCACAGATACTGATGAGCCTGCTTAGCTCAGAGGAGCCTGATTAGAGTTTGTTCAAGGAGAGAAGCTTTGTCCAGATTACAAAGCCGTGGCTTAGGTTGATGAACACATAAGCAGAAGAGGCTGTAGGAAGACAGTGGCATATGAAGAGTGGAGTTACAGAAAGTAGCAGTCCACTTTACCAGTAGCCAAGAGAACTGCACTGGATAAACCATAAGTTTGGAGCTGGCAGAGACACTAATTAGTCCCTAAGTGCTGGGTACTTCACATACGTATTATCTCATCTCATCTTACAAAAGGCACATGAACACTCATCTTCTTTTACAGATAATGGCTCAATCCACATGTATAATTGATGACAGGACCACGATGGATCCAGGCTGCTTTGACTCTGTACCTCGTATGGTTTTCCCACTGTTGAACTGATGAATGCATTTGAACAGGAGCTACATTGCTAGATGTGGCTTGACCCTTGAAACCCAGCTGCTCAGCAGGCTACTGAGAGGGAAGCATGTGGGGTCAAAAAGGGGTCCACTTTACACGTGAGTGAAAATAGGTGGAAGATGGCCCCAGTTGGGTTTTCTCTTCATCTTTAGTTTGCCCATTCGGCAATATTTTTTTCTTTTTTAATGGCAAGTTTTATTTTGTGGAATGGAGGACATATTTTTCCTTGGTCACTCTTCAACTCTTTGCTTAGGTTTGCTTTTCAAAGGGAAAGGGGCCGGTGTAACCCTCTGCACTTTGTCAATGGACTACTGAGGTTGTAGTGTGTACACTTCTGTCCTGAAGACAAATGAGCCACATGTGTAGTCTGATAAGAAGAGAGTGCCTCTGTGCCTGTGGTACCTGCTGCCTGGGGAGCATATCCCTACCAAGTTTTCCCCTGGGAGTAGCAAAGATAGATCATTTAGAAAAACAATCACCATTTAATTTTTATTTTATAAGTTTGTAAAACAGATGTGGGTGGTGTCCAGGAACAAAACGACATTCAAATTTCAATAGTGACATCGTGTCATATAGATAGCTATTTCTACAATAGTCTACTAGCATGGAAGATATCCTTCTCTTTCCAAGACATCCCTTTACTGTGTGGAACTACAGCAAGTAAAGCAGTAGACCATGCTCTTCTGCTACTAGCAAAAGAATGGCTTTAAGAGAATGATGATTTAGGTGTTACTACCAAAGTCCCAGCTGACAGGTAGCCTTGAGATATTAGCAACCCACAAAAACAAACTCAGAAACAGAAACAATTTTTAAAATCTCCAGAGGGGAGCAGAATGTCACAATGAGATGTTTCACTCAAGAAAAGCTTTCACTTTGATGGGAAACAGAAACACTTGATGCCAAAGACCTCCTAAAAGGTTGAAAAGATCGCCTACATGAAGAATGTGCGTGAAATCAGCAGCAAGAATGAGACCCTGGGGCTCACTGCAGTAAAATACCCAAAGGGTAGGGTTAAAAAGACTTCCAGGCTATCCTGAAATCAGAAATTTCCATCATGTTCCTCTTGATAACCCAGATAGGTTTCTCTATCAATGTTTATTCAACCAATGAAGAGATTCTTGGATTTTGCAAACTTGAAGACATATATGAAGTGGAAAATTCTGCTACTAAATTAAAACCAAACAATTTTGAGGAAGAGTGTACAAAAATGAGACCCCTCGATATCATTTTATACACTGAATAAATAAATAAATTCAATCAATAAGTTCTTAAATATGAAAAAAGTAAAATGCTCAAGGCTTACCGAGGGTCCTAAGGAATTTTTTCCAGAATAAAAATTTGAAATGTTATATTTGTATGATTTTTCACATCTGAAATGTACTTGAGAAATGTTTTATTTTTATTTTTCTAGAAGTCAGAAACGATGCTGAGGAAAACTGCTTAAGGGACTGAAGAGCTGCCACAGGTAGCCACTACTATTTCCTCTGGCAGTTCTTAAGAAAAGTAGCTGGATGTCACAGCCACAGCTGCATGAATGTCCCAGCTCTGCTCCCGGTTTGAGACATTTCTCTCATTGAGTCAGTGAAATTCTCCTATTAACATCACCATGTTCTTTTCCATTTGCTACTTATTTATATGGGTGGAGTAGCATCATGCAATCTAAAATTTTAATCAGCCTGTAAAAAACTTCTCTCCCTCTCCTCTCCCTCTCCTCTCCTGTCCTCTCCTCCTCT